CCTGGTGACGGCGTGTGACACGTCCCACCTGCTCTGGCGCAGTTTGAGGGATGTAACAAGGCCTATTCCCGCCTGGAGAACCTCAAGACCCACCTGCGCTCGCACACGGGGGAGAAACCCTACGTGTGTGAGCACGAGGGCTGCAACAAAGCCTTCTCCAACGCCTCCGACCGCGCCAAGCACCAAAACCGCACCCACTCCAACGAGGTACGGCCCAGCAGGGCTCCCCGGGAGCTCCCGGATCATTCCCATCCTCTGAGAACTCCCCAACCCCCTCTTCTCCTCTTTAAATATCTCCCTCAGCACCAGCGTTCCCCCTGGGGTCCCTTTACTCGTCTCTCCTTCCTCTGCCTTCCCGAGCTCACTGTGTGCCCTCCACGGGGACTCACCCGCTCTAATGCCACCCTCAGCCCTCTCCAGAGGGTGCCAAGGGGGCTTTAATTGTGGGGAGGGGGCTGCAGCTGGGGCTGACATCCTCCCTCCTCCGTGCCCGCCGTTTCCCGGGGCAGAAGCCGTACGTGTGCAAGATTCCGGGCTGCACCAAGCGCTACACGGACCCCAGCTCCCTGCGGAAACACGTCAAGACCGTGCACGGCCCCGACGCCCACGTCACCAAAAAGCACCGAGGGGACGTGGGGCCGGGCCGGGCGCTGCCCACCCCCAGTGCCCCCCCGGAGATGAAGCAGGAGAAGGATGCAAACGGCCCCGGCGAGGCTCGCAAGGACGATGGGAAACTCCTGGTGCCTGAGCTGGCCTTGGTGAGGACTGCGGGAGGGAGGGCTTGGTGCTGGGAGGGCATCCCCAAGTGATAGGACAGGAGAAAACAGCCTCAAGCTGTTCCAGGGTTGGATATTAGGGAAAATTTCTGTGTTGTCAGGCTGCCCTATGGAATCACTGTCCTAAAAACTCCGGGATGTGGCATTTGGGGACGTGGTTTAGCGGTGAACATGGCAGCATTGGGTTAACAGCTGGGCTCCGTGATCTCAGAGGGTTTTCCAACCTTCATGGTGATTCCAAGTGTGTCCCCTTTGCCTTGGCCGTGCTCTGCTCTCCCCAGAAGCCGCAGCCCAGCCCGGGTGGGCAGTCCTCGTGCAGCAGCGACCACTCGCCCCTGGGCAGCACCACCAACAACGACAGCGGCGTGGAGATGGCAGGAAACGCCGGCGGCAGCTACGAGGACCTGTCCACTCTGGAGGACGTGGTGGAGCCCATGGGCACCTCGGGGCTCATGGCCCTCCACAAACTGGAAAACCTTCGCATCGACAAGCTGAAGCAGCTGAGGAAACCGGCGGCTTCCAAGGGCCTGAACCTGCCACCCATCCCCGGAGCCGGTGAGATCGGGGTGCCTCTCCCCGTGGGTTGGGGGGCCTGGCCCGTGGGAAGTGTGTGCAGAGGTCTGGTGGGCAGCCTGAGGCTTCCACGCCTTGCTGGTGTTGGACCCCAAAATCTGGGGAAACATTAGAGCCCTAAAGGGGTTCCAGGAGAACTGGAGAGGGATTTTGGACAAGGGCCTGGAGTGCCAGGACAAGGCAGAATGGCTTCACGTGTGAAAGGAGGGCAGGGTTAGGTGGGATATTGGAAGGAATTCTTCCCTGGGGGAGTAGGGAGGCCCTGGCAGGGGTGCCCAGAGAAGCTGGGGCTGCCCCATCCCCGGAAACATCCAAGGCCAGGCTGGGGCAACCTGCTCTAGTGGAAAGTGTCCCTGCCCATGGGATATGGGTGGTCTTCAGGATCCCTCCTAAGCCAAACCATCCCACAATTCCATGATTTTTCCAACCTAATGAAGCTTCTGCTCATCTGTTGCCACCTGCTCCCGGTCCTCGCGGGCTCTAACCATGGCACAGCCACGTCCCAGCCCTGGAGGTGGCTCCTGTCCCTGCTGTGAAACGCCAGGCGGTGTCCCGGGGTAACTCCTCCTTCTGTCCCTCAGGCCTGCCCGGGGAGGTGCCCGGTGTCCCGGTGCCACCCGCGGCCTCGCACCGGCGCATCGCCGAGCTGTCGGCGGCAGAGCTGGGCTTGGCGGCCCTGGGCGAGCGCCGGAGCAGCGGCACCAGCACCGTCAGCTCTGCCTACACCGTCAGCCGCCGCTCCTCCCTGGTGTCACCCTACCTGGCCGGGCCGTGCCCGGGCGGCGATGCCGGCGCGGTGCCCGGTGGGCCGTGCCCGGTGGACGGTTACAATCCCGCCTCTCCGGACGTGTCGCGGCGCTCCAGCGATGCCGGCGTGTGCGGGGGGCTGCCGGGGGTGGGCAGCCTCACCCCGGCCCAGCGGTACCGCCTCAAGGCCAAGTACGCCGCGGCCACGGGCGGCCCCCCGCCCACCCCGCTGCCCGCCGTGGAGCGGGTGGCTCCCGGTGCCCACGGCGGCGTGCCCGCTGCCTACCCCGCGCCCGCCGGGCCTCGCTGCATCGCCAACGGCTCCTTGAGAAGGCACGGCTCCAAGGAGCACCCCGGCTACCCGGGCGGCGGCCCTGCCCACCTGGTGCCCCGGCACGGCGTGAGACGGGCGAGCGACCCTGCCCGGACGGTGGCCAAGCCTCCGGCCGTGCCCAGGGTGCAGCGGTTTAAGAGCGTGGGGAACATGAGCGTGCCAGGAGTGGGCAGGGTGGCACTGCAGCCCCTGGGCGGCTCCGAGGCCAACCTGCAGCGCCACGGCTTCTCCCCACGCCCCCCCAGCATCACTGAGAACGTCTTCCTGGAGAGCATGGGGGGCCCCGGCCCCGAGTCCGGCCTGCTGGACATGGATCAGTACCTGAGCTACCCCGAGGAAAGCTTCCCGTGCCAGGGCAGCGGCGTGGAGCTCCAGGGTGGCATCTACGATGCTCAGAGGACCATGGTGGGGACACACGGGGACATGGAGGAGGGGCTGCTGCAGCCCGAGTTCTCCCTCCCGCAGTGCCAGATGAACCAGCGCTTCCCCAGTTTGCCTGCAGGGAACGGGGCTGTGCCGGAGCCCTGGGCTGGATCCCCCCAGGGCGCGCTGGGGATGAGCTCCCGGCAAAGTGCGGCTGCTGCAGCTCCCGCCACGCCCGGGCCGCACTGTCCCCACCAAAACATCGAGTACCCCCATCCCAGCGCCTGCGGGCAGCACCCCAAGCTGGTCAGCTCATGCCAGGACCAAGAATTTCCCGGGGGGCATCGCTTTAACCGGCTCCAGATCAAATCCGAGCAGCGGTACCCAGCGCCCAGCCCAGCGCTCGCTCCCTGCCCCGGTGCCAAGCTGGCCGCGCCCTCAGCGGCCCCCGCTGCCTTCGGCCACGCCGTGGACGTGGGGCCGGGTGGGTACCCCCCCGCAGGACCCGCACCGGGTGGGTACATGGGCATGGCCAGCCCGGGCACCCGCAGAGCCCCGACCCCCACCCTGCAGAGCAAAGAGGCGATGGTCCGGAGCTACGTGGAGGCGCAGCAGGCGCTGATGTGGGGGGAGCAGCCCCCCGCCAAGGGGAGCGTGGCAGGCGTGGGGCTGGGCAGCGAGCCCGAGCAGTGCCAGGCCATGCCAGCCCCGCCCTACCTCAGCCCCAGGTACTGCGCTTACCAACCCAAAGCGGATCATCTGCAGAGCCTGGCGGAGCCCCAGCACCTCCTGAGCCCCCCCTGCTTCAACCCCGAGATGATCCCGCACCCTCCGGGCGGCCCGAAACCACCGGGTCACCAACCCAGCCCGAGCTACCCGGGCAGCCTGGCACAGCCGGGCAATGGCTATGAGGGGGTGGACACCGGTGCCCGCCGCCTGCCACGCTTGCCCCCCGCCCGCCCCGTGTCCGAGGGGCCCGGGAACCTCCCCCTGTACTACCCGGGGCAGGGCCCCCACGGGCAGGGGGGCAAAGGTGGGCACAAGCTGCTGTGCCAGGGGGCAGCGAGCTGCGGGGGCAGCGGGCACTACGGCGCGGAGGGACTCAAGGGCACCTCCTGCTACTACCTGGACTCGGGGGAGCAGGTGGCCAACAGCCTGGACTCGCTGGACCTGGAGAACACGCACCTTGACTTCGCTGCCATTGTGGAGGACGTGGAGACCCCCCCAGCGCTGCCCGGACCCCCCAGCCCGGCCGGGGGGCTCCTGCTGCCCCCCTCTGGGGGTGCCAACATGGCAGTGGGGGACATGAGCTCCATGCTGAGCACCTTGGCAGGGGAGAGCCACTTCCTCAACTCGCTGTCCTAACGGGGGTACCCGCCCTCAGGTGGGCACCTCTGTGCCCTTGGGGGTCGCGGAGTGTTGGGCAGAGGTGGGAATCCTTCTCACAGCCGGGTTTGTGCCTGGGGGGACGTGGGGAACACCTCGGAGCCCCCCGTTCTGCAGCCTCTGAGCATCGCCCTGGTTCGGGAGGGGTCCCAGGCACAGCCCCGACCCTCCCGGTGACTCCGGCGTGGGGAACTGGTTTTACTGGGCCCTCACCGCGGTGCCTCGGAGCGTGTCCCGCTCGCCCCGCTCGGGACAAAGCGACCCCGCGCAGCCTGAACCCCGAAACCAAAGAGCCCCCCGCCCCAAATCCCAGTCTGGCAGGACTGCAAGCGCCCCCAGCCCTGCTCCAGGGGGGATCCCCAAGGGTGGGGCGGGGGGTGCCTGTACATAGTGTTCATCCCTGTCTGTCTGTCTGTCTGTCCCCCCGAACCCCCTGTCCGTGAGAGCAGCAGCGGTGCCGCCCCCTCCCCTCATTAAACCCTTTCTCAGGGGACTGGGACTGTGTGTTTGTCACCCTGCCGGGCCTTTGTCACCCTGCCGGGGCTTTGTCACCCTGCCGGGGCTTTGTCACCCTGCCGGGGCTTTGTCACCCTGCCGGGGCTTTGTCACCCTGCCGGGGGCTCCCGCCTTGATCCCGTCCTGGGGAGGGCCATTCCTTGGTCCGCTGTGACCAAAACCGCCTGGCACAGCTTCCCCTCCCTCGCAAAATAATGCTATTCATTATGCAAAAAATAGGTTAAAATAATCCAGGTTTCATGCGAAAAAAATTAACTAAGATAACGTAATTAATCATGAAAAAAAAAAAAAACAGCTTAAAAGAATGCAATTTTACATTATTTTGTTTGGGTAATTAATGGTGCAAAAATTGCATGAAATAACTCAATTAATTATGCAAAAATTCCATGAAATTATGGAATTTTTAATAATTTGCTATAACACAATAATGCAAGAAAGTACTTCACACAATTGAAAAAATAGTTAAAATGCAATAATGCAGCATTTGCTTAAAATAAGGCAATTATGTATGCAAGATTTGTTTAAATAACGCAATTGTGCATAATCTGCTTAAAATAATTCAATCAGCGGTGCAAAAAAATGCTGAAAATAATGAAATAATGCAAAAATTTGCTTAAAATAGCAAAACTAATAAGCAAATCTTGCATTAAGGCAGTTTTGAATAATTTGGTTGAACGCAATTAATCATGCAAAGAAAAATGCTTAAAATAACTCAATTATAGAAATCAGGGTGTTTCCCCGCACACCCAGAGGCTCGTCATGGTGTAATTAACCCATAATTAATCCGGAATTAACACGGAATTAATCCGCGGCAGCGCTCGGGACGGGCGGGTGGCGCCCTCTGGTGGTCCCGGTGCGGAACGAGCGCGGCGCTCCCGGTGCGGACCGAGCGCGGCGCTCCCGGTAAGGACCGAGCGCGGCTCTCCCGGTGCGGACCGAGCGCGGCTCTCCCGGTAAGGACCGAGCGCGGCGCTCCCGGTGCGGACCGAGCGCGGCTCTCCCGGTAAGGACCGAGCGCGGCGCTCCCGGTGCGGAACGAGCGCGGCGCTCCCGGTGCGGACCGAGCGCGGCTCTCCCGGTAAGGACCGAGCGCGGCGCTCCCGGTAAGGACCGAGCGCGGCGCTCCCGGAGGTGCCGCCCCGGTCCTGCGATGCTCCGGCAGCACCGGACGGAGACTCCGTGAGCCTGGAGCCCTCCGGGATACCGGGCGTGCCCGTCGGTCCTCCGGAAGTCGCGGGGTCCCGGGAGGCAGCGGGAGCCCCGGGGATTCGGAGGGTTCAGGGGACTGAGGCTCCTTTCCCGTGGCAGTGACACCACAGGGGACAGCGCTCGGGTGCCACCGGAGCCGCCAGCCCCGGTGCAGCCGGTGCCAGCTCTGGTGGCAGGAGGGAAACCCTCGGGATTTCGGGACCCCCTCGGCCCCGGGGCAGCGTGGGGAACACTCGATATTAAATCCAGCTGGGGTTGTGGTTGGGACAATAATCAATAGGCAATAAATAGCGATAAATAGTGGCGGGACAAGGCACAGGGACACGCTGCAAAGGCACAGGGACACAGCACAGCGCTGTCCCGTGGGGCTGACAGCAGGAATAGCAATTGGGGCACTCCCAGCCCCCCTGGTCTGCTCCACACCCCACCCAGGACGCGGCAGGGTCTGGCAAAACCCCCACATGGAGTGGGGGCCACCACAGCAGCTCCTCTCTGTCACTTCCCCGCTCGCTCCTTGTGCGACTCTGTCACCACTTGCTGCAAGAGGAGAATTTGGGGATCAGTCCCATGGCAGGGTTGGACCTCCCAGACAGGGCACCCCAATTCTCACCTGCCCGTCCCGCGTCTCGATGGTTTTGATGAGCACCATCCTCCGTGCTGGGCTCTCGGCTGGCTGGGGCTCCAGCACTGGGCACAGAGGAGCCATCAGCAGCCTGTGCCCTCCCAGACACCCTGGGCAGGAGCACAGGGACCTGCCCATGCCCACACGGGGTCTTTGCCCCCAAGGAAAGACCCCCAGACATAGTGGAGGACCCCCAGCTTGTCACTCACCTGAGCTCCTCGTGCTGAAGGAGGGGGTGGGGTGCAGTGGGATGGTGATCCTGGGGGGGAGAGGGGAATGAGGAGGGGCTGGGTCTCCTGGACATTGCCAGTGGCCCTGACCCTTCCACATCCTCGAGTCTGTGACCCAAATGCCAGCTCAGCTGGGGGCTGTGCCCGTGGGCTGCCAGGCTGGCACCTGGAGCGGAGCTGGAGGCAGCTCCCCCACCATCCCCTGGCCTTGCCTGTATCTCAGCAGCAAGAAGCTCCCATGGGAACCTCCTGTTTTCCTGTGGGAACAAGGCCTGGAGCTGCCTCCTCCCCGGAAAATCCCACAAAAACCTGGATGGCTCGAGGCGGGGGACCTTCCCCATCGGCAGAGGGGGCACGCAGCGTGCCAGGCTCCCCTCACCGGCTCTCCTCGCCCTCCAGCAGCTTGCGGTACGTGGCAATCTCGATGTCCAAGGCCATCTTGACGTTCAGCAGGTCCTGGTACTCCCGCAGGTGCCGCGCCATCTCCTCCTTCATCTGCTGGATCTCCTGCTCCAGCCTCCCCACCACGTCCTGGTAGTTCCCGATCTCCTCCCCGAACTCATCCTCCATCTCCTGCATCTGCCGCTGCAGCGCCTCGTTCTGCGGGGGGAGAAGGGGCTGCAAAGGGCCGGGGGGTGGGGGGGTCTGGTCCTTGCAGCCCCCTGGGACACTCCGCGGCTCTCACCACGCTCTTCAGCCCGTCCACCTCGCAGCTCAGGCTCTGGATCTGCCGGCGGGACTCGTTCATCTCCTGCTTGGCCAGGCGCAGCGCCTCGTGGTTACGGTTTGCTGCATCCGAGAGGTCGGCGAACTGCGCGGGCAGAGCGAGTCAGGGCTCGGGGAGGGCTCAGCCCCCCAAAATCCCTCCCAGCCCCGGGTACCTTTGACTTGTACCACTCCTCGGCTTCCTGCAGGTTCTTGACGGCGATGCTCTCGTACTGGGTGCGGATCTCCCGCAGCGCAGCCGTCAGCTCCGGTTTGCACGTCTCCACCTCGGCCAGCCCCGCCGGGCTGGGGCCGCTCCCCTCCAGGTCCCGCAGCTCCTGCGTGGGTGCGTGGGCATCGCTCACGTCGTGGCACAAGGACCTGAGCTGTTCTCCATCCCACCCTGGCCCCCACCTCCTCGTGCAGCTTCTTGAGGAAGCCGATCTCGTCCATCAGCAGCTCGACCTTGCGCTCCAGCTCCAGGCGGGACAGCGTGGCGTGGTCCACGTCCTGTGGGAGACGCCGGGATGAGCTGCAGGGCAGCGTGGAGAGCATGAGGTGATCCTGGAACCCCCCCGTGGTGGTGGTGGTGGGCACAGGCTCAGCCCCCCCAAACCCCGCTTGTGCCCTGGCTCGTGCAGGGCTGACCCAGCATCACCCCAAACTCCTGCTGGAGACACCCAGGAGCTGAGGAGGGAGGGAGGGAGGTGTGGAGGGACCCCCGCTTTTGGGGCCAGACTGGGGCTACCGGTGTGCACAGCCCTGGGGTACCAGGGACACAGTGGGTGCTCAGCTCTGGGGGTCCCATCCTGGCCCCCCAGTGAGGTGGGACCCTGCTCCGACTGGTGCCATTCACGCCACCAGCACCTCCGGCGAGCCGAGAATTGGGGTTCCCCAGGGTTATTCCCGGTCCCCTGCACCCACGGATCACCCACGGATCACGGGCACTGCGTGGGGGGCCCGCGGGTGCCCCCACCTTGCGGAACAGCACCAGACTCTTCTCGGCATCCTCACGCTTCTGTGTCTCGTCCTGCAGCCTGGGGACAGCAAGGGGTGAGAGGGAGGCGGGGGGTGGTGCAGACCACCCCCTCCTGTCGCACACACAGCGGAGGCCATGGATGCAGCGTCCCCCAGCGCTCGCAGCAATCCCCTCCCAGTGTCCCCACCCTTGCCCTGCCCCTCCCAGTGCCCCGCCCTTCCGCAGAGGCCACATCTCCCAGTGCCTCCCAGTGCCCTCCGTGCATCGCGGGGGCCTTTCCCGGTGTCTGCTGAGCGTATCCCCCCCTCCCAGGGCTCTTCTTCCGCGGACATTCACCAGCCCCTACCCCATCCCCATCCCCATCCCGCTGCATCCTCCTGTCCCCATCCTGGTGCAAGTTTCATCCCATCACATTCCTCATGCCAGGAGATCCCCCAGTCCCTCTCTGGCACATTCCCCAGTCTCCATCCCGTGCATAACTCATCCCGACACATCCCTGCTTCCCACTGCACTTCATCCATCATCCCAGTTCGTGCCCCATCCCGGTGCATTCCCCGCTCCCCGGCACATCCTCCACTCCCCACCGCTGCATCCCTCATCCCGGCGCATCCCCGGTCCCCATCCCGCCGCCTCCCCCGGCCCCGCCGCCGGCCCACCGCTGCCGCAGGGCCGCCAGGTCGGTGGCGAGCCCGTCCCGCTCAGCCTGGAGCCGGTCCCGGTCGCGGCCGAGGCGCTGCAGCCGCTCCCGCAGCCCCCGCAGCTCCCCCTGTACCAGCCCGGTGCGGGGCCCGGTGGCGGCGGCGGCGCGGCCCAGGGCGGCGCGGAGGGTCCCGTTCTGCCGTTCCAGCGCCCGCACCCGCTCCAGGAAAGCGGCGAAACGATCGTTCAGTGCCGCCAGTTCCTCCCGCTCCGCGCCCCGCGCCGCCGCCGCCGCCGCCAACCGCTCCGGGGCCACGGTGAGAGGCGGCGGCATCCCGGGGTCGCGGTCACGGCGGCTCATGGCTGCACCGGGAGGGCGGCGGCTGCCGGTATCGCCTGTTTATAGCGGACAGCGGCTCCGCCCCGCCGGGGGGACCCGGGGGTACGGGACAGAGAGAGGGGAGGGGTCTCCCGGCCACGGGGAGGATCCGGGCCCGCAGATGTCCCCTCGGGGGGGCGGGGAAAGGGGCTGGGGGTGGTCGGGGACACCCCTCGGGATGAGGGGCAGGCGCTGCTGGGTGTAGGGCTGCAGGCATTCTCCTTCAGGGGGGCTCGGAGACCCCCCTGGGATGCAAGGAGAGGGGCTTGCAGAGGAAGCCAGCAGCACCAGGGGCAAAGGGGAGAGGGTCCGAGGGTGCCCGGGAGACACAGGATCCCCCCACTGCGCTGCATCAGAAGGAGAGACCCTTATGGGATCCCCCCCAGGCAGCACGGGGGTGCAGACCCCCCAGCTGGGATGCAGAGAGGGTCTGGGGGCTGCAGGGCTCAGGCAGAGCACCCCTCCGAGCTGGGTCCCATTCTGCACGGGGTGCTCAGCATGCAGGGAGGGGGGACCCTCTCACGCACCCCCCTCCCGTTCTGTCGGGGCCGCGGTGACTCGGCTCGGCGGGAGCGGCCATGCGCGGGGCAGCGCAGGACACCGAGCTCTGCAACCCCCCCGAGCCCCCCCTTTCCGGGCAGCTACGGCCGCACTTACGGGAAGGAGTCGGTGCCCTGCCCAGAGGCTGTGGGGAGGGTCCCTCCCCCGCCCAGGACCCCCTCCCAGCTCTGCAGAGAACCGCACCGAGAGTGGCTCTGTGCCAGCAGCAGCATGACACCACGTCCAGCCCGTCTGCACCAGGTCTGGGCAGGACACTGGGGACTCTCAGGGGTCCCCCCTCACCTGGTGACCCCCAGTGCCAGCAGAACGCTGAGGGGGACATGAGCCCCCCACCCACCGCAGGCAGCCCAGCAGGGCAGTGCCAGCTCATAGCACAGGACCCAGCCAGGGACCCCAACCCCACAGAACCCCCCGGCCTCTCCCAGCACAGCCCCTGTGCCAGCTGGCAGCAGGGCCTGGCAGCCGGCCCAGCTGAGTCCCCTCCTCCCCTGGGACGTCCCCCCAGGTCACCACAAGGCAGATTGTCCCAGCACAATGAAGGAGGCAGCGTTGGGAGGAGGCATTTTAATGAGCGGCAGCACAGTGCGACACCAGAGACAAGGCACTAGTATTCCTCCCCTTCCTCATCGCCCTCGATGCTGTCAGCCCCCACCTCCTCATAATCCTTCTCCAGGGCAGCCATATCCTCACGGGCCTCCGAGAACTCGCCCTCCTCCATGCCCTCCCCCACATACCAGTGCACGAACGCCCGCTTGGCGTACATCAGGTCAAACTTGTGGTCCAGGCGGGCCCAGGCCTCGGCGATGGCCGTGGTGTTGCTCAGCATGCACACGGCGCGCTGCACCTTGGCCAGGTCGCCCCCGGGCACCACCGTGGGCGGCTGGTAGTTGATGCCCACCTTGAAACCAGTGGGGCACCAGTCCACAAACTGGATGGTGCGCTTGGTCTTGATGGTGGCGATGGCGGCGTTGACATCCTTGGGCACCACGTCCCCGCGGTACAGCAGGCAGCACGCCATGTACTTGCCGTGCCGTGGGTCGCACTTGACCATCTGGTTGGCCGGCTCGAAGCAGGCGTTGGTGATCTCGGCCACCGAGAGCTGCTCGTGATAAGCCTTCTCAGCAGAGATGACCGGGGCGTAGGTGGCCAGCGGGAAGTGGATGCGGGGGTAGGGCACCAGGTTGGTCTGGAATTCCGTCAGGTCGACATTCAGGGCTCCGTCAAAGCGCAGCGAGGCCGTGATGGAGGACACGATCTGGCTGATGAGGCGGTTCAGGTTGGTGTAGGTGGGACGCTCGATGTCCAGGTTGCGGCGGCAGATGTCGTAGATGGCCTCGTTGTCCACCATGAAGGCACAGTCGGAGTGCTCCAGGGTGGTGTGGGTGGTGAGGATGGAGTTGTAGGGCTCCACCACGGCCGTGGACACCTGTGGGGCCGGGTAGATGGAGAACTCCAGCTTGGACTTCTTGCCGTAGTCGACAGAGAGCCGCTCCATCAGCAGCGAGGTGAAGCCAGAGCCGGTGCCACCGCCAAAGCTGTGGAACACCAGGAAGCCCTGCAGCCCTGTGCACTGGTCAGCCTGCCAGGTGGGAAGAGGAAAACAAGACCAAACTGTCAGTAATTCTGAACTTCAGCTGCTACTGACTTGCCCAGAAAGGCAAATATTCCTCCCAGTATGGCAAACATTTGTCCCAGGATCCCAGGGACCCCTTTCTGCAGGGATTTGGGGACACTCAGTAGAGACAAGGAGGATCATGTTTATTCCAGACAGAAGTTTCTCCTCACTGAGGCCACATGAGGATAGTATTAGGGTGTTCCAGTACGATGGCAGAAGCCACCAGGGTGGGGAACAAGGTGGCCCTGACCTTACACGTTGGACACCTCAGCTCTTGGGAGACAACCCAGCAGGCTCTGGAAGTCAACCATGGTTTCACCCCCTCTTTTTCCAAGAGGGTGCAGCAGGAACAAGCTCTTATCCCACAAGAGCCCACGGGCAGCCAGCTCAGCCTTTGATGTGCCAGGAGCTCCCAGAGCGGAGCCGCTGGCACAGCAGGTCAGGCCACCCCGGCGCCAGACCCAGCGTGGGAACCAGCGGTTCAAAGAGCTTGGGCAGCCACACCAGTCAAACCAGTGCTGCACCAGCACCCAAACCATCTATCCTGCCCCCCCTGCCCTGGCCATGGGGCTTCCCACCCTCCTCCCCTTGGCAAGGCTTAGCACTGGGCTAGGACAGGGCCAGCAGGTCCCTAGTGTGACAGTCCCACCCTCTGCCCCAAAGTGCCCATGGGCTGAGAAGGACCTGCCCAGGGACATCTGGAGCTTCCCTTTGTCCCCACATCCCCCGCAGGGATGAACCCACCCCATGAGACCCCACAGGACACCCACCAGCTTGCGGATGCGGTCAAGGACCAGGTCGATGATCTCCTTCCCGATGGTGTAGTGCCCGCGGGCGTAGTTGTTGGCCGCATCCTCCTTGCCCGTGATCAGCTGCTCGGGGTGGAAGAGCTGCCGGTAGGTCCCGGTGCGCACCTCGTCTGCGGGGACAGCCCCGGGCCCCGTTAGCACCCAGCGCCCGCCGCCAGCGCCCGCCCCGCCGGCCGCCCCCCGCGCCCTCACCGATCACCGTGGGCTCCAGGTCCACGAACACGGCCCGGGGCACGTGCTTGCCGGCGCCCGTCTCGCTGAAGAAGGTGTTGAAGGAGTCGTCCCCCCCGCCGATGGTCTTGTCGCTGGGCATCTGCCCGTCGGGCTGGATGCCGTGCTCCAGGCAGTACAGCTCCCAGCAGGCATTGCCGATCTGCACGCCCGCTTGGCCCACGTGGATGGAGATGCACTCGCGCTGTGGGGGCACACGCCACTGGTCACCCTTTTGTCCCCTCTCTGTGCCACCCCAGCACCCACCGGGCTGGCACCCAGCTGGGAAGGGTCCCTGCCCGAGGCTGGCTGGGGCCAGATCCTGCCCGGACCCGTTGCAGGGAGTGCTCAGTTCTGGGGGTCCCATCCTGCTGCTCCTCACTGAGGGACTGAGCGATACCGTGGTGGGCACAGGCTCAGCCCCCCCAAACCCCAGTTGTGCCCTGGCTCGTGCAGGGCTGGCCCAGCATCACCCCAAACTCCTGCTGGAGACACCCAGGAGCTGAGGAGGGAGGGAGGTGTGGACGGACCAGACTGGGGCTACCAGCGTGCACAGCCCTGGGGTACCAGGGACACAGCGGGTCAGCTCTGGGGGTCCCATCCTGACCCCCCATGGAGGTGGGACCCAATATTGGAGTATTGGGGCTCCCCAGGGTTATTCCGGTCCCCACCATTTCCAGTCCCCTCCACCCACGGATCACACACCGGCAGGGACACTTCAGCCCCTTCCCCAGGGGGCTGCTCATCACTTATGGGGCAGCCTTGGAGCTCACGTGGAGGAACGTGGAACGTTCCTAACCCTTGGAACGTGGAGCCAGTCTCTTCTCCACCGGCCCTTGCACAAGCCCGGACTGTCCCGGGCCCGCTGCAGCCCTGAACCGGGGCAAGAGCAAACTCTGCTGACCGGAATCTGCCCCGGCTGCCATCGCCCCACTCTGCTGTGACTCATGTCCACGCGTGTCCCAGCGAACAGAGCCAGGAGAGGTGGGCAGTGGGGGTGCCCCCAAACCCTCTCATGTCCTGTTCCTCTCCCGAGGGGTGCTGCGGGGCCGTGTTTAGTACCCGCGTGGGAGCCCAGGACTCGCGGTGCCACTCCCACGCATTTAGCAGGGAGCCCGGGGGGGATCAGCACCCCGGGCAGCGACCCCCGGCTGGGGGAAGCCCCCGATCCGGGGGGACACACGCACCCCCACCTCAAGTCCTACCCAGGCCGAGCAAGAACTCGGCAGCCCCACGGGTCGTCCTGAACTCGCGAGGAACTCCCAACCCCTCCAGCGCACAGCCCCACACGCTGCTGGGGACATGGGGGGGCCCCGCACGCAGCCGCCTCGCAGCCCCCCGCGCTGCTCGGGGGTCCCGCACTCCCGGGGGGTCCCACCCCGCTCGGTGCCCCCCCGGGGACCCCCCAGCCCTCACCATGGCCGCTCGCTGCCCGAACTGTTACGGAGCCGTTGAGGAGGGAGGCGGCTCCGGCCCGTGGGGCCCCCCCGTTATACCACAGGGGGCGGGGCTTCGTTGGGGCGTGGTCAGGGGGAGGGGCTATCGCGGCTTTGCTCCGCCCCCGGGCCGCGCGGCGCTCCGGCCACGCCCACCCCGACCCGCCTCGATTTTGATTGGTCGGTTCGAAAGTCGGGCGGGGAGCGTGTGGGCGGTGACGTCAGCGCAGCGGAATGCGGCGGGAGGGAGGCGGGGAGGGGCGGGGAAGGGGCGTGGCTTAGTGTGGAGATGGGCGGGGCCATGAGCGGGGAAAGGGGCGGGGACAGAGGGGCGGAGGGTTGGGGGTCCCGAGGGTTGGGGTCCCGAGGGTTGGGGGTCCCGAGGGTTGGGGTTTGCAAGGGCTGGGGGTCCCGAGGGTTGGGGTCCCGAGGGCTGGGGGTCCCGAGGGTTGGGGGTC